CCCAATGATAAATGTAACTGTACTGTATACTTAAACAGTACCAATAAACTCAATGAAAAAAATAAAGTCCCTTCAGTTGTAGATGGCAAAGGCACTCTTGCAACCTGCCCTCCACATCCACCTTCCCCTGCCAAGTCCACACACCTCACCTTAAGTCATACCGCTTCATTCCTCCACAGGTACTGCGGAGTTCTCCTTGTTCTCGGATGGGATGGCAAGGTAGTCAGACCTACACGCCATGTGGGAGAGGAACAGAGCCAGTGCTTCAGCACCCAGCAGAAGGAACACAAGGACAGGCAGGAGCAGGGCACTGGGACACGCTGTCTACAGGACATCTCCGCCTTTCCTTCTCGTTGTGGGTCCCAAGACAAAAGCAGGACAGTCCTTTCTGAGGGCTAAATAACATGCCTCTCCCATATCTGTGTGAGAACACCCCCACCCCAGCTCATGAGTCTTCTCATTTACTTACGTCATCTTCAGCAGTACTTACTACCATCAGATAAAAATAAGAGCCAAATACTGAAATTACATTTTATATTTGCATTAATTTTCACTTTCTGAACAATGAAAACTTTTCATGTTTGTAGGCTACTTGAGTTTCTCTTTCTGTAATTTCATGATGTGATGTTTCAGTTTTTATTCTGCTATATTTGTCATTGATTTTTCTTTGATAGTTTTACATTTTGAAAATTTCTTCCAGCCTGGTTTTTTTTTTTTGGTAGCTGGGATCGAACTATGGCAGCTGGCGGAATCATGGAGCTAAATTCCCAGTCCCAGCCTGTTGTTTACAAATTTTTGTATGCTGTCTTATAATGAACAATTGATCTTTGCATATAATGTAATGAAAACAATAATATTTTTCTCTTTGAATCGCATGCTTTATATTTTAAGAAATTCTCTCTAATCCCAAATAATAATATACTCATATTCCTTTAATGGAATTTTTAAGTTTTACTTTTTCTGCCTTTAAATTTACTCACAATTCATTTTTGCTTAGTGCAAACGAGGAATCTCATTTGGGTTTCCTACTTGGATAAGGAATTTTCCCTCTAGCACTTCCTGGACAGTGAATTCTTTCTTTAATGATGGTAATGCCGCCATTTTCCATATTAGGTTTCCTTACACACAGTAACCCTTTGGGGGTGCTCTGTTTTGTTCTGTTTGCCCATTTTGTGCCTTTACATCAGTATCACAAACTCTTAACTCTGAGAGGTCTATGGGAGCTCCTCATCTCTGATAACACAAACCTTACTAGTCTCCTTCTTCACTTACTGTTATTTCTTTGAGATGACACAGGTGAAGGATTGGCAAAGGATGGCCCATAGGCTGAGTAATTAGTACATGTTTAAAGTGCTGCAAACATGCAAAACAAAAGAACAGTATGGATAGAGACTGCAGGGAGCTTTGCAAAGCCTAAAATATTTACTATCTGGCTGTCCTTTGTTTTTTGTCTGTTTTTTGTTTTTGTTTTTTTGTGTGTGGTTTTTTTGGGTACCCAGGTTCATACTCAGGACCTTGAGCTTTGTTAGGCAGGTGGCAGCACCACTGAGCTAAATCCCCAGCCCTTGCCCTTTGGTTTATCAACTATTTTTGGTCCTTGGGCCTTCTATGTGATCTTTAAGATCAGTTTATCAGACTGGGCACGATGATACATGATCACTCATGCCTGTAATTCCAGCACTGTGGGAGGCTGAGGCAGGAAATTCAAACATGACCTTGGGCAACACAGTGAGACACTGTCTAAAAATTAAAACAAACAAAAATACAAAACAAGGCTAGGGATGTAGCTTTGTGTGAGGACCCTGGGTTTTATCCCCAGTACTGCAAAAAGAAAAAAGTAAGCAGTTTATCAAGTGTCTGAAAAAAATCTAATGGGGATTTTGATTGAGATTTCATTGAATTTGAAGATGAACTTAAGAGAGAATTGCTTAAAATAGTGAGACGTTATTCTTCATGTATTTGCTTTTTCTTATGTCTTTCTGTAAAGTTTTATAATTCTCTCCATGAAAGTTGCTATTTGTCAGATTGGTTTCAATGTACTGGAAAATATTTATTGCTGTTGTATTAATATTTAAACATATTTAAATATGTTTCTAAATATGTTGTTGAACTATATGATTTCTATACAGTCTATGTTGTTCTGTAACAAGGATGTGTTCTGAGAACTGTAACAGGTGATTTGTCTCTGTGTGATCACCATAGAATGTAATTATGCAAATTAAAAGATGGTAATGGCTATGACATTACTCAATGTTATAATCTCATGGCACCTCCCTCCATGGTATGTGTGGTGTGTCACGGACCAAAATACACATATGTGGCACATGGCTGAATTTTTATTTGCATCAGCAATCTTATGGGATACTCTTACTAGTTCTAATAGTCTACTTATAGATAGTCTTGGTTATTCTGTGTGGACAATTATATGAGTAACTAATGATAATTTAATTTATTCCTTTTCGAATATTATCCTTTTTGTTCTTTGTACTTATTTGGCATACTATCTAGGATCTCCAATACAATATTGAATAGAAGCAGGGAGAGACGATATCCTTGATATGTTTCTAGTATTACAGGCCTTTCTTCCAAAGATTTTATTTGCTGTATGTTATCTCAGTAGCTGTCATTTATAGGTCTGTAGGTAGTGTTTAGCATATGTGCTGCCGAAGTGAGCACGGTAGTTGGTGTTTAGATTTATTTACCCTACTTAGGACATATAGATGCTCCCTGACTGATGGAAATGTCGTAAGTGGAGAACACATTTAATACGCCTAACCTACCAAACACCATTGCTTAGCAACACATCATGCTGTGCAGAGATCGCAGAGCTGACTGGACACTGAGGCTCATGTGGCTGCCCAGCATCGGGAGAGAGAATGCTGCATATTACTAGTTTGGGGAAAAAACATCAAAGTTCAAAATCTGAAGTAGTTTCTGCTGAATTTATTCAGTAAGGCCCGACTTATGAATGTTTAAGTTGCAAGCTTTCAGGGAGAAATGGACCTTGCATCACGAACATTCATAGCTGTCAACAAATCGTGGAAGTAGCTCACGCGTCTGCAGGACACTGTCACAGCTGTGCCGCTGTGTGCTCACTGCACAGTGCATAGTGCACAGCAGTGCAGTGCTCGGTCAGAGCCCAGCATGTCAGGAAGCAAGAGGAAAAGCAGTGGTGATAATGGAGTAGACTGCTAGGGAGCACGAAGCAGTAACCGTAAGTAAAAATCATGCAGATGTTGGACAGAGGTGAAAAGATGGTAGATGTGGCTCCACCATCTTCCACCTCCACTCCCTCCTTGGTTAGTAACTCTCTTCTTGTCAGTTCACTCCATGCAGTCCCCTGGACGCCAGTTGCTGTGCTGTACTGTACCATTTTAAGGTAACTGTAATAGTGAACATAGTTCATTTACAGCATTCATGTGTATGTGTGTGTGTGTGTGTGTGTGTGTGTGTGTGTGTGGTTTTATGCTTTGCATTGTTTGTGTCAAAGATGTATAAGACTATTGGACTTAATGAACGATCTCTCCGAACGGAACTCGTTGGTAAGTCAGGGACTTACTGTATTGGTTTCATACCCTCAGTAAGGTAAAAACAAATGAGGCAAGTCATCATAAATAGGGGACCATATGCCTTTGCTTCTTGAATTTCCCAGTCACTCTGAGAACACAAGTATTGTCTCTCCCTGGTACTCTGTTCTAATGGGCCATATCACTTTTTCCCTTCATGTTTCTTTGTTGTACTTCATCTTTTATATTTCTGTGCTTCATTTTGTATAATTTCCTCACATTTACATTCTGGTTACCAGTATCTAATCTTTTGTTAAAGCAATTCATTAAGCTATTTTATTGAATATACTTTTTACAGAATTTTTTGTTTCGATTCGAATTTGCCTGTTCTTTTTCCTTAGCACTTACTCTATTCTTATGCTATGGATTTTTTTTGTTTTGTTTTGTTTTGTTTTTTGTTTTATGAGACAAGGTCTCACTATGTAGTTGAGACTGACCTGGAACTCACTATGTAGCCCAGGCTGGTCTCAAACCCACAGTGATCCTCCTGCCTCAGTCTCCCGAGTGCTGGGATTACAGGCATGTACCACCATGCCCAGCTGCTATGGATTTTTAAAAATTGCTTTAATTATTTTTAAACAAGTGTATCTTCTAAACTTTATTAGGTCCTCCATGTGTCTGAAATCCCTGGCACTTAATCCTGTGTTTGTTACTCTTTTGCTCATGCTGGTTGTTTTTTGCAGTGACTTTTAGTTTTAGACTGGATTTTGCAACTAGATCCAGCAGTGATTAATTTCGGGAATACCATCAGGCTTTGGCTAAGAGTGTGCGCCTTCAGAATGGTTTTTCATTTGTTTTTGTAAGACACTCTGGTTATCACCATCTGGGGCCTAATTTTTAATTGAATTTCTTAGCTGAGAATTTCCTTGATCATGTGAGTAGTATCAATTTAAATCCCAAACACTGTGAGAGCAGGCTTGAGGTTAGTAATTCTCAAGAATCTTTTCTTTTTTCTACTTGAAATCAGGCCAGTGCGAATAAATTTCCTTGGCTTTTCCTTGTGCTGGAGGGCTGGTTATTTCTGATCTACCCTGTGTGTGAGACGTATCTCTCTGGAGATTCTGGCTCTGCTGACGGCCTTCATTTGAGCTCTCTTTCTTGTGGGAGCCCAATCATATGCACTTCCTGTGCAAGCCAGGCTACTTCCTGTGTAAGCATGAGCCTTTCTGGTTCAAGCACTAAAATATAACCAAGTCACCAGGAATTACAGCTTTTCTCAGCATGACAGTTGTATCTATACTTATACATGGCTAATTATAATTTTTGATTCCCTGAGATCATAGACATCATGCAAAATGAAGTTTTCTTTATTTTATCAAATTTTCTAGGTGGCAATAGCAGAGCCTTTTTAGATGATTGCTAGAAATGTGCCAGGTTTTTTCTTCATTTTCTTTTTTTTTTTTCTTTCTTCTCAAACAACAGGCCAACATGGTCTTTCAGGCCCTCTGCTTTTAACAGACCCCATTGCTTCTTACATGTGCTCACTCTTGAGTATCTAGGGTCTTGGTCAAAGTGGTGAAGGTATAGCTAGATGTTAGATTAGAGTTCCCACTTTGAGTTTTCATCTGCTTCTATGTTCTAGGCGAAGGAACATTGCTTAGTGTTCTTTAGCCAATAAAGGCCAGTGCCCAGATGGACTCATAAACTCCACTGTGTAAAGCAAACAGCTGAATGTGACAGAAAGAGCACGGGCATTTGGAATAGGGAGGCCTGGGTTTAAATCCCAGTTTCACCACTCACTATGTGTCTGGCCTCAGCAAACTTTAAAACTTCTATGAGCCTACTTTAACATTTATAAAATGGTAATAATAATTCTAACTTTATGGTGTACTGCTGGCAGCTAATGGTCTTTGCCTTGGCGGTTAAGTGTGTAGGCCATGAGTTAGCAGATCTGAATTCAAACCTCAATTTGCCTCCTACAGTGGCCTTAGGCAAACTCTTCCAGGCTCAGTATTTTAGCCGTGAAATGGATATAATAATAATGCTTACCTCATGAGTTGCTAAAAGGAGTAAGGTGGAGAATGTATATAGTTTTCTTAACACCTCGCCTGTGAGAGCAACCTTTCAGAAGATGGCAGCTATAATTATTATCCTTGGACTTACGCATTTTCTTGGGCTGCCTCTTCAGCCTTTGAGACCTTTCTGTAGCAATATATCATCTCAATAAGCAGCCACAAAGTGAGGAAGACTAGGAGGATGTACATCATGATTTCTGAGACCACAGAGGTGAAGTCTTCTCCTGCTGCAAGGAGGAGAATGAGGTTCAGAATGTACTTCCCACAAATCAAAGCTTTCATTGGGGTCACAGATATATGTATGTGTGTGTGTGTGTGTAGACCTTTCTGTAGCAATATATCATCTCAATAAGCAGCCACAAAGTGAGGAAGACTAGGAGGATGTACATCATGATTTCTGAGACCACAGAGGTGAAGTCTTCTCCTGCTGCAAGGAGGAGAATGAGGTTCAGAATGTACTTCCCACAAATCAAAGCTTTCATTGGGGTCACAGATATATGTATGTGTGTGTGTGTGTGTATATATAT